GACGGGCGGCCTCGGGCCCGGCGGGGGTGGGGGGGGTGGAGGAGGAGGCCTCGGCGGCAGCGGGCTAAGCGGGCGGGGCCCTGGTGGAGGCGTCGGCGGAGGAGGTGGAGGCGGCCTGGGCCACGAGCAGGAGGAGGATTACCGCTACGAGGTGCTGACGGCCGAGCAGATCCTGCAGCACATGGTGGAGTGCATCCGAGAGGTCAACGAGGTCATCCAGGTGCGCGTGCCCGCCGCGCGCCGCCGCCGCCGCCGATGGAGGCAAAGGAGATAGAGAGAAAGAAGGCCGGGCGGGCTGGAGCAGAAGAAGCAGGCCCGGCGGGAGGGAGAGGAGAGGAGAGGAGGAGGAGGGGACGCTGCGAGAAGCAGCGGGAGCTGAGCCGGCCAGCCACGCCTTCAAGGGGCGATGCTGCTGGATGGAGCCGGAGCCCACTTCTCTTCTCCCCCGCCCCCCCCCCCGCAGGAAAGGGCGAGGGGAGGCAACAGAGCCAGGCTGAGATTAGCCCCTCTCCCCTCCACTGGCTGGAGAGATCTCCGGCCTTGCAGTCCCTGCCTGGAAAGAGAGGGGGCGCTCTATAGAGATGGCCAGGAAAGGGTTAAGGTGCCCTGTTTTCCCCCTTTATGGTCACTGAAGTCCCCCCCCCACTTCAGAGGGGTGAATTGGGTTCATTAGTAGAGGAGAAAGGATAACCTTCCCCCCCCCCCCAGTTGCTCTGTGGATACTTCAGAGGGGAGGGGGGGAAATCTGAGTGACCACAAAGCAATTGGGGGGAGGAGCATGGCTATCCTTTCTCTCAGCTAAGAAGGACCTCAATTCACCCCTCTGAACCATGCTTTGTGGGCACTGTGCCGCCCACCTTCAGAGGGGTTAATTAGGGTCCTTAGCAGAGAAGAAAGGATAATCATGCTCCTCCCCCAGTTGCTTTATGGGCACTAAAGTGCCGCCCACCTTCAGAGGAGTAAATCGGGGTCCTTAGGGAGGAAAGGATAACCATGCCCCCCCCCCCAGTTGCTTTGTGGACACTGTGATTCCCCCCTTCAGAGGGGTGAATTGGGGTCCTTAGAGAAGAAAGGATAACCCTACAGCTGAATTGCACAAGAAATGCAGGAAGGAGAAGAGCTTAGGCAGGGGGACGGTGGCACTACATGGTACATGCCAGGTGAGCAGTGACTGGTTGCCCCGCCAACCCGGATGGGAACATGGTAAAGGCAAGAGTCATCGCCCTCCTATTGGCATCACCCAGAGGGGAATCCCAGGCTTCGTAGGATCTGACTTCATGTTCTTGGGAGGGTTTGTGTGGTAGGAAGGCTCAGCCGTCCCAGTCCTGCAGCTGAGTGATACTGGCATGAGCCCTTTTTGGGTGGCCCCCGGGCAGCTGCTCAGGATGGCAACATGACAACAGGGGTAGGGCCCAGGAATGTCTACCTATGTCTTGGCATTTTTGAGAGGCAGGACTGTGTGTACACAGTTGTTAAAAGGGATTGACTCAGGTTGGGCATAAGTGAAGTCCAATACGGAGTGGCGTTTCCATTGGTACCAAAAATATTCTAAAAATGTGATAAGAGAGACAGTGTTTCTTATTTCCTGGAACTTTTAACAAACCCTTATTGTGGGCAAGTGTATTTTGCATAGGATTGGCTGCCTATTGATTTTGCATCGCTTCCTGCTGATGTCATTGATATAAACGGGGACCAAAGCTTTTTTTTAACCTTTGTAAATACTATTTCACATTAGGGTTATAGTTACAATTACACGGTTACAGTTCACACATCCAAACGTCACATTGCTGGCTCTGAAAAACAAGTCTAGGAAAATCCCAGATTAAGGCTTGAGTTATTCGTAATCTGGGCATTTTATACCTCCCAGCTGAAATTGGCATCCAGAGTTGCACAAGTTATAAACAATAAAATGGTTATTAGCACAGGTGTGTAATTGCATTTCCTGTTGCTAAGTAAGCAAAGGTGTTAATTCAGCCAAAGAAGAGTCTGCTTTAAAGATCAGTCTTGCTCCTGCAATAGGTTGGAATGGTCAGGTTGACTTGTAAGGATCAAAGGTGCTCTTAGCCTTCAAGACAATTCAAATTAGATGAACGCGGTGGGGAACTGGACTGTAATTACTAAGTTTTAAGCTGCACAAAAGTTTTGCCTCTAATTTTCATGGCTAATGACAATTGCTGGGTGCTAATGACGGATAGGCTTGGTTGAATTGATTTCCTGGTTTTGTTTGAAAACTCCTGGTTTAGCACAATGGCTATTTTGAGACAGAGGTCCATATAGAAACATTGACACATTTTCCTTGTTTTAGCAGCAGAAGCTGTTCAAGAAACTGAGGTTAGAATAGGATGGGGAAGTGGGGGGGCGGGGAATAGGTGTCCACATCTTCCAGGAATAAATAACCATTTCCTGTGAAGAAGAAGGATGGTAATCTGTAATCCTTCCATTCCACAAATATGTCCAGTTCAGGTAAGTGATCTATGCTCAGCGGATGAGGAAGCTACATTTCTGCTTCCAAGAGCTATTCAGGTAACTATTCTCAAGAATACCTGAGCAGCTAGAGTTCCTGGTCTTCTCTTGAGTGAGCATTCAAACAGCCCACAAGGGGCTCCTATCCTTGTCTATGTAAACATTGCATGGTGTACCTGTAACATTGCATACCTAAGACCTTGTTGAAGTGCTGTTGACGTGGCTTGCAATAAACCCCCCTTTTTCTATCCCAAGTTTCTTCAGGATTGGCTTGATGGCCTCAGACATTGACGCTCATGTCCCTGAAACTCTACAAATATAGTATTTTTTTAAAAACTTCCAAGGGTCATTCATGATGTGTTAGGCGAGAATGCCTGAGGTGGTGAACTTTAGCCTGTATTGTAAAGAACTCTCCTATGATATGAGTTCTTCCTTGTGTCTTCCTCTGTGGTTAATAGCACTCACAGCCTTGAGCTGGAGATTTGCTCTGACTTTAGGAAGGTGGAAAACAACTGAACTAAACACACAGCGGTGATTTACTTTTGCAATTGGGAACTCACAAACAAGGCGACGTTAATCCTCTAAAGATTTGCTAAAGGAAAGGGAAGAACAGCTTGACCCTGATGCCAAGAACTTCGAGTGGTAGTTAAAGCTGGGTGAGTAATTGTGGGTGTGGATGGGCCGTATTCCTTCCGCTTCCCAGTTCTAATTGAACCAGGCCCAAATCCAGAGCTTACCTTGCTCTTAATCTTCGATACAGAGGCGCAATGTAAAGATTGCCAGTGAAGGATGTTTTTGTGTCTGGCAGGTTCAAGGTCAGATTTAAGAAGGACGTTATTTGTTAAAACTTATCTTGGAATCACACTGTTTCTTTATATGAACGGGTCTCTCAACTTTTGACCCTTGCTGCGGATTGCTAGGTAGTCAAAATTTTATTCACGAAATAAACATTAGAATTAACGTGTCTCTCAACTCTTGACCCTAGGTTCAGATTGCTAGGTAATCAAAAAAATTTTTTCACGAAATAAACATTAGAATTAAGGCCCTTTCATGGTTTGTCTCTTTGTTTCTTTTGTTAATTTTGGGATTGAGAGAGGAGCAAGTTGCCACTCTAGTCAAGTGAGGTGGCATGTCAGAAGGACTTCAGAGTGGCATTTAGGTAAACTTGTCCTTAAATCGTAAATGTTATATATATTGCTTGAGAAGGATTCAAATATTGCCAGGAAACCCTGCAAAAAGAATATTGTCAGGTGGCTTTATCTCCTCATATGTGAATACAGGTGCATTCCTTTTAAATAGCTGGCATTTAATGGCTTCCAGAGTACCTAATACAAAGATGCTAAGTTAAGCCTCTGTTTTTGGCCCTTCTGAAATGAAATGCGGGCCAGATTTCTCTTTGCAGTCCAAAACATGTTTTAATATTTTGGAAACACGAAGCCTCTGAACATTTCATTTGCCTTAATATTATTTTTTTTAAAGGCTGCGGAGAAGGAGAAGAAAATTGAATATGAAGTGTGTTGGTTTGGGATGTACATATCATTACGACCTGGTGTCCAGCAGTGGGATTCAAAAATAATTTTACTACCGGTTCGGTGGGCGTGGCTTGGTGGGCTACTGGTTCTCCAGAATGCTACCTCTGCTGGCGTCCGATTCAAACCATTGCTACGTTCTTGGCTTGTATGGTAAACTTCAAGCTTGCTCCACTGTACGTAAGAAATTCTGTTGCTTACCAAAGGATTGTACTTTTTTGGACAGTAAAAAGCACCCACCTTGTGTATTTTTCTTTGCTTTGTATGTATGAAAGCAAACCACATGCTGGCTACAGAGGGTTAATTCATAATGGCATTACAGGTACTCCTCGGCTTACAACTACAATTTCAGCCCCAGATTTTTGTTGCTAAGTGAAAACAGTTCAGCGAATTTTTGCCCCGTTTTACGAACTCTCTTGCCATGGTTGTTAAGTGAATCGCTGCAACAGTTAAATTAGCAACACCGTTGTTAAGTGAATCTGGCTCTTGTCATACATGGCGCTCCAGGGCATTGCAACCATCATAAATGTGAATCAGTTGCGAAGTATCTGAATTTTCATCTCATGACCGCTGTAACAGTTGTTAAGTGTGAAAAACGCTCACAAGTCACTTTTCTCAATGCCTTTGTAACTTTGAACTGTCACTAAATGAACCGTCGTAAGTTGAGGGTGACCCGATTTGTTGTGTATAGACTCCGTAAGTGACTTGAGGTATGTTTTGACATTTGGAATTCTTCCAATTTAAAAAAATAATAATACCCAGTAACACTTAAAACTATTACTGGGAGGCTGATATGAAGCCATTTGTTGTCACTTGGGTGTTTTTAATCTACTGGAGATTTTATTTTGCAATTTTTCCCCTATCGAGCAATAAGCGTTTCTCTGCCATTCTCCTTGGAGCTGCTGGGAATTCGAGAGAGACCCAGATTCGAATTTTGCCGTAGGCAAGGAAGCGAGCTGACTCTCAGCCCTAGATTGCAAAGTTGAAAAACATCTGTCTGGACCAGGGAGGTTGGTTGTGGTCCAAAACCCTTCGTGGAAGACTATTCCATCCAGCTGTGAACTAATTCACAATGTGCGTGTGGGCCAATCTACTGTATCTAGTACAGTGTTTCTCAACCTTGGTGACTTTAAGTCCTGTGGACTTCAAGTCACCAAGGTTGAGAAACACTGATCTAGTAGATTGTATCTATTTCTGCTCAAAGATCTGGGGGAAACCTCTCCCATGTTTTAAAAACTTTGATTTTAACCAAGTTTGTTACTCTGCCCAAATATTATCCCAAATGGGAAAATATTGATGATTTAAAAAAAAAAAAAAAACGGTTATGATTTCCATTATTGCTACGATATCCTCAGAAATCGATCATCCTGATTATTTAGGTTGAATATTTGGAAGGATTTCCTGGTCCTGCAAATTGCAACACTGAAGTTTGCCCAAATTGCAACACTGTGGCCATCTCTCTTTCAGCCTGCATTCAACTTATTTACCTTTTATATAGCTGGATTTTTTTTCTCCTTACAGTGGAAGTGGACTAACGTTTCTCTCCTCTGATAGCATTGGCTGTGAGAATGATTAAATTTATATTTTGTAGCGAATCGGAAAAGCAATACGTTTGATGCTGGGGAATGGTGGTTTGGTTGTTGGCCTTGAACTGCAACTAAGCTATGATGTGAAAAGGGGGGGGGGACTTTGAGCCATCTAGCCTTTCACATATTTTGAGATTAAAGTGAACAACTGATGTTCCTTGGGAGAGGAAGCAATGTTAGAACAGTGGAGAACTCTGTAGGGAAGTTGGAAAGCCACTATCTCTGCAAATGTCTATGGAGATTCTCAGTCATCCAGCTCAGGGTTACCCCAAAGATGCTATTTTTCAAGGGGCAACTGGAATTTCTGGGTTTTTCTTTGAAGACATTTTGCTTCTCATCCAAGAAGCTTCTTCAGCTCACACAGAGCTTTCCTTAGTGTCTGTGGCTGTAAAATAGAGCCGGAACTAATTGTGACAGCCGTCCCAGAAATTAATACCATTACTGAAGCTATCGCTTGTAATGTTGAAACGGCCTTAAAGATCCTGGATATATTTTTAACTTCAGAAGGGCTGTCTGCAGGGGCTGGACAGCTGATCTCTCTCTCTCTTTTAATCACTCACAGTCTTAGAGCAACAGAGTACATAGATTATCATGCTAGCACAGATCTAACTAGAAAAGAAGTGTTATGTAACATGTTGCCTTAGAATAAAATGACTGAACTTGGATGTTTTTATTTAGGCTGCAAATATTTTCTAAATAGGTAGGACTTTGGGTTAACGATTAGAGTTAACAGATCTTTTAGCTGTATTTAGTGAAGGCCTGTGACATTTGTCCTGAATTCTGGAGAGAATTTTGTAAAGGGGGGGGGGGAATATTTCTTAAAAAATGCTTCGGTTGCTAGCATCAAATGAAATCGTTTCAACATCCAATTTTATCTTTTCATGTAAACTTGATGGAAGATTGTCTGGTCAATTCATTGTTTTGAGAAGTAATAAACAAAATTCCCCAAAAAGGCATTGGCAAAACATTTCTGTACATTTGCCAAGAAAACTGAATGTGGATATGTCCACTTGTTCCCCAGAGCTGATTTTACAGACATATTTGTCTTGCATATCCTAAAAATAGACTCGAATTATATTTAAATCAGACTGTATTCTATTCCTGTTCCTTTTGCATTCTCTGATGATCAGATACAGTGGCATCCTTACCCATCATATGGATGTTACATTTAATTACTTTTACATACTTACATCTCTGAATAAAGTCAAAAACTGCAGAGGTTAAACCCTTCCAAGTTGGGAAGGCTTTTTGTTATTGTATGAACAATAAATCCTTGAAAGATACTTTTTTTTTCTGAATAAAGGGCAATAACCCTATCATTCATCTAATACATGGAAACGAAACCCTTCCTCAACCTGGTGGGATTTGAGCCTTATTTGCTTGGATTCCATTTCTAGGGTTTTAGACAAGAGTCTTCGCCAGCTCTATTTGCAAATGTGGGTTGAACCTGGGATTTTCTCCATGGGAAGCACGCATAGCAGAGCCACAATTCCATTTTCAAGGAACATCTGTGAATGTAGTTTAAAAAAAAAAGTCTGAACTCTTGAAGGAGAAAATTCACTTTTGCTTCAGAACTGCTAATTATTGTGGCCCGCCAGCGGCCAGTGGAACTGGCAGCAGAGTCAGACAGCGAAGAGGTTGGGGAGGAATGTGGGCCAGTCTTGGGGGTTGAAGAAAGCTCAGATGAGGGCTCTGCGTCAGAAGCCGAGCGGGAGCTAGACAGCAGTGAGGCAGAGGAACAGCTGGAGCCTGTTCCCAGTGTGCACATGCACAGAGCTGCCAGAAGACAAGAACAACTAAGAAAGCAGAGCCGACTTGGGAGTAAAGCCACATCTTGGAGGTGATTGGTCCCTCCCATAGGACACAAAAGAGGAGCGGATGGGGAGGGGGCTTTTGCAGGAAACAATTCATTCCTTCAGTCGTTTCAAGAGTGGAAAGTTCTGTGTGTGACTATAAGAGACTCTGTGTCAAGTGCTGCCTTGCCCTGTGTTTGGGAACTAATTATCTGGCAGCTCTCCAAACGAGATAAGGTTCGTGTGGATAAATATTCCTCTGAAAGACTGTTTGCCAAGCCTGACTGACTGTGAATGAAAGGAATTCATAGTCGTGTAAATAAAAGGGGTTTTGCCAGTTCCAAAATTAATTTTA